ACCTTGTATAAATGAAGTAATTGAAGCCATCTTACCTTGTATAAATGAAGTAATTGAAGCCATCTTACCTATCATATATAAAGAAGCTTCATTTGCTATACTATGCTTTTGCATGTTTACTTAGAAGCAAGTCCCACCGTGTACACCAAGACTTACTTTAACATAAATATAATCAGGATTGCTCTTTTAATGACTATGTAAGCTATACAGAGACAGACAGATAAACAGGTTTCCAGTTCCCTGTACACTGTTGTATTTCTTTCAAATGCAATGTCTAAAAACTGCTGGCTGCCTCCTAAATCCAAATCTGCAGTTGCTTTTCGGTTAAAAAGCCAGAATTTGGTTTGTTATTGGTTTACAATTCCTAGTTTATTTAGAACAACAGGATGGGATCCAAGGACTGAGTTAAATATTTCTAGTTTGCCTAGATAAGTAGAGGAAGTAAGGAGACTGTAGGGCACCAGCACATAACTCATTTGTGATAAAATCAGAGTTCTATTTAGCATTGTACATGAATATAAGCATTATATTCTACTCTTGAAAATCTCTTTAGATGTCTCAAGAAAAGAAAAACAAGCCATCTACAACATTATTTGCAATTTGTAATTTCCTGTCTGAAATGAGTCTGGAACCATCATCATATAGCCATATGCAGGATCACTGTGTGAGACAGGTAGCCACATAAGTTCTTTAAATAAATAAAATAATTACAATGTGACAACAGTTGAAAGACTTACTATATAATGATGTTATATCAATGAAGCAGCTCCAAAAATAAGAATTTTAGAACTGGGTGCAAAGAAAGATTGAGCAAGGAACCTGGTTATGCCACATTCAACTGTTTCTCTACTGTTGTATCTAGGATATTCCATTATTTTTTTTAGAATACTGTTGTATTCTAGGATATTCCATAATTTTTTTTCCCTATCCACTCAATCATGTCTCAGAGACAGCCTGGACAAATCCCTACAGTTTTCTTGGCAAGGTTTTTCAGAAGTGGTTTGCCATTGCTTCCTTCCTAGGGCTGAGAGAAAATGACTGGCCCAAGGTCACCGACTGGCTTCATGCCTAAGGTGGGACTAGAATTCATGGTTTCCCAGTTTCTAGCCTGATGCCTTAACTACTA